AACATTTTTAAAGTCATAGAGAAGTCATATTTAAATGGATTTGTTTGTTAATTATGTTTTTTTAGTAAATCTAAAAAAATATTTTAGTATATAAACATTTTTAAAGTCGTAGGGAAGTCATATTTAAATGTCAAATAATTCTGTACATGTATACAAATGTGCTGTTTATCAGATATTGTCCCAAAAGTTAGAAAATTTCTATTTTCAAAAAAATCCTGTCTTAAAATCTGTGTTTTTTTCCCATTATTTTATCCAGGCCAGTTAGTTCTACGTCAGCCTGAACACCTAAATTCGCCCAATCATATATCAACGGTCATCTGTCAATCATATTTTTTCAATCATAGCATCTTGATTCATATGTCACAGAATCCTTTCCTTTCCCATTGAGTTGCGTCCCAGTGTTCACGGGGATGGACGTCTGTGTCTTCAGCAGGCGTAGAGCTAACAGAACTGGCAGCGTTGCGAGGCAAGGGCTCAAACATGTACGGCTGGAAGCCTTCTACACCAAACCAAGCTTCTGCCGCCCTGGCGTCCTCTTCCACAACATCTTCCTCCCTTCTTTCCTCCTCTAAATAAAAAATGGACGACGGAGGAGACTCATCCACGACCTCCGACACTAAACTCTCCTCCTCTTGCATGTTTCCTCTGTCCATAGCGTTCCTTGACAGCGTCGTTTCTAAGTCACCAATTTAGTGCTACTTGGTCCCAATGGAATTTCCCATTGGGAACCTGCTAGCACTAAGTTGCTAACTGGTTAGCAAGATGCTTCACAACATTCCCGCCCTTTTGATAAACGACCAATCACATTCACTTTATTCACTTGTGTAAAGTCAGGCACCACTCGGGAGAATTGGGAACTGGAACCGTTGGAACACCCTACGACTTTAAGGCTGACAGATTTCCGTTCTTGGTGGACGTATTTATTTCTGTATTTCATTACATTACCGCTGCTTACTTTGATGTATATAATAGGATTTTATGTGATCCAAATATAAATTAATAGCAAGACAGGTTTATTTGTAAAACACAATTCAGTACACGGAATTCAAAGTGCTTTACATCAATTTGATAATAAAACAAAAGAAAAATATAGATACAATTAAAGATCTATATACATTTTGTCTTGTCCCAAATAAAGGTACATTTTTACTGAAACTTTTCTGTGAACAGGATAAAAAGTCATAACACTTAAAGTACTGTGGTTCACACAGACCAAACCCTCTTCAGACCTGTTGGATATGTAACAGAAAGCCAACTTGGATCAGGAGATATTGATGAGGACGATCCAATAGACTATAAGTCACTTCCTCAGCAGAAGCCAATTTAACCGTGTCGTTAATCTCTCCTCATAAGGAGGAGGAGGTTTCTGTCTGGTCGCAGTCCAGCAGTAGAGCTGGGCACCATCAGTTTACGTAGAAATGTTATACTTTTTATTCAAAGCTTTAAAAGAAGACCTCTGATGTTTTTTGATCAATTCAGGATGTTTTCATTAAATATGTGGAACATTTTGGCATTAAAGTCCTCCTGCTCAGTGTCATCAATCAATTATCTTTTGATAAATAAATTAAATCCCTTTAACTGGTTAAAATATTTAACTAATAGAATACCAAAAGATGTGTTTTTGCCTCCTTCCCTCATCAGTGAATACTCTGAGCCACCTTTTGGCTGCTTCCTTAGAAAACAAAAACTGCCAAGTGGCTTTGTACGTCTAGAGGCTGTTTTTGTTTGCTTTGTTTTGTTTTTCTCAGGAAAAATAAAACTGAAAAACAACTCTGGCTCAGTCAAAGCAGAAAATCCAATTAATAAATAGCCCAGAAAAACTGCCAGTATTGTTGGCTTTGTCATCTCTACTGTTTTTTTTCCACATTTTGTTCCATGAGAGCAGCAGCAAATATCAATAAATCCACAAATATAATCAAATTTAGCTACTGTCTGGAGTTTGGTAATAAAAGGAATCCAATTTCTTTATGTACTTGCTTCTTAAAGAAGGCTTTTTTTCAAAACTGGTAGGATTTATTTTTTGTTGTTTTGTTTTTTAAGCAGTATTTGTCTTTACACTGTTTGTTCGACTAAAGGGAATCTATGAATTTGTATTTATTGTATATATATTTTGTCATGTCCCTTTTATCATAATCCCCACAAATACCACTAATAGATGATAATTGAACAGACCCGATTAGATTTTTTTAAACTTTACTCTCCTTTTAACTACTAACCATCTGTCTGTCTTTTCTGATCTGGTCTTTGCTGTTTGTGATCCTCATTTTCCACCAAACTTCTTTAACAAACCTCTCAAAAGTATAGACTATTTTTATGAATGGTGTCTCTTCTAAAGACAGCTGTGTTTTCTGGATTTTATTTTGGAGTATCAGAGCAGGTCGGGATAAAAATAAACACACCAAACCTCTTTAGTGATTGAAATAAAGATTTAACACTAGGTTAAGTTTTTCTACACTATCCATTACCTTGTGTAGTTCTGTCACAAAAAAAAAAGACTATAAATTATAATAAAACTTTGGATGCAGGTTCAATTAATCCAGAGTTTATTGATTTTATACATTAACTGATGAGTTGATAAGCGGCCATTTTCTCTTGAATTTTTCCCAACTGCCAGAGAGGGAAGTCAAAATTGGACATGAAAGAACAAGGGGCTAATTTTCATTTAGCACACAAACATGCTAGCAGAAGGCTCGACGGAGAACAGTTGTCCCAAATTCACACATTTTGACATTAAAGCTATCGAACCGATGAACAGACTGGGTTCAACTCCTGCAGAGCTGAAATAAAGAGCTGACAAAGCCCCATCTTTCATTAAAAGCTCTTACTGCTGCTAGCCAACAAGCTAACGGGAGCTAGCATTCTTCTTCATCCATACTTTAGGGGCTATATGTAGATATGCTGGTAAAGATTTCAGTCATCCAGGTCATGGTCATTCCGTAAGAGTTTTAAATAAACCAATCCACTGGACTTTGTTTCCAAGGTTTCCAAGATAAAGATAGTTGGTTTGAGAGGGGCGTGAAGGAGGCCATCTTTGTTAAGAGAGAAAAACCAACCTTAAACAGAAGTGGTGGACTCAGATTCCAGCTTCCAAAAACTTACAATTCATTTATTGAGATGATTGCTTCCAGGTATTATCACAACCCCCACCCCATCACAGGGGAGGAAAGTGCCTCCTCTCTTCAGCCAGGTGAACAATCCCCCCTTTAACGACCGACCTTTCACAATCATAGACAGGTTTCAGATATTACAGGCTAACAATGGAACCAAACGACCCGCTCGTCAGTTAAATTAGCATGTTTGCAAGCAATGGAAGGCCTTGTTTTTGGTCCATTATATAAAGCCTCAAACTGAATGCGAATCCAGACATTTTGAATTGAGAAAGCTTCTTAGATGGGAAGCAAAACGTCTTCAAACCTTGGAAACAAAGTTCAGTGGATTGTTTTTTTTTTTTTTTTTCACTTTTAAGTTAAAGAAAATTTGGAGCCGTTCACCAAACGAACGTCCAATCAGCGTTGGCTTTGAGGCGGGTTGAGGTGTGACGCAACGAGAAGCGCAACAGTTCAGTCTAAAGAACATGGCGGCCGATGAAACTAGCGTTAGCGTGGCTATCGAGCAAGTTTTATCGGAATTACAGAGTATTTCCTCACTGAAAGAAGAGCAAAACACTGCTCTCGAGGCTTTTCTCAGAGGAAAAGATGTTTTTGCTCTTCTCCCGACTGGTTTCGGCAAGAGTAGCCTGGCTTGTGGTTGTGTTTTCGTCGTCGCTCTGTTAGTACGTCATATGCTTCGTTGATCTGATTGGTTTATTTGGCCCGTCTATCACCAACATAGGCCAATCAGCTAACCAGTATTTTCGCCCCTTCCCAAAATTACTTCAGCGGAAGGTTTCCAAATGGATAGGCGGAGCAAATCCATCTGGCAGAGTCAGGTTACTCCCCCTACAGGTTTGGTGAGAGACAGGTCAGTAGAGTTCAGCAGCTTATAGCTCGCTGCTGCTTATATATGTACGTTTCTAGTTTTTTATTTTTTTTTATTTTGTGGGAGCGGCTTATAGTGTGGTGCGCTCTATAGTCTGGAAAATACGGTACTTATTTCCACAGTATAGAGATCTAAAACTAGCATTAATAGACGGGGTAAGTCACTCTGACATACTGTCAGACTATCTGTGACTTTGTTTAAATAAAGTGGATGGCGACTATAATACAGGTCTGTCTTTAGTTTAATTCAGCAATCAGAGGTGAGAGACTTTGTGTTGTTACCTGCACTTTTAAAGAGGGAGTTCTTGTTGCTCTCAGAGGAGTTTTAATAGTAACCCTATGATGTGCATTAGCTTACAGAAACCTTCCCCATCTACCATGCTTATTGCCAGCAGAACTTCTATCATTTTACAAACATTTTGCACAATGCCTTCCACTCTCCTAACATCACATCCTCACTGTCTGAACACAGGAGTGAACGCACGCTGCCACACCATGCAGCGTGGCAAAATGGGCACTATGTAGATGATACCTAAAGGAACTTATAGAGTATTTATATTTACAAACAGAACCACATAAAGTTTAGTCTCCTTGTCACCATTAAAGAGTGTAAATAATCCCAGACCGGAGTCTGGATCCATTCTTCTCTCTGCCCTCTTGTAAATACCAGAGGTACTGCTTAAAGATGTGGTGCCCTCTACTGGATGGTGGTATAGATGCAGAACTGAAAGAAATTTATTTTGAGAAACATCAGTTAATCAAATGTTTTTATCTAATAAACCCTTGATCGATTATGAATCATATGTTGATTATTTAATTACGTCCCTAGATACATTTTGCCTTTTATGTATTGAAGTAGGAAAAGTTTCAAGGCTTAGGAATGTTTTTTAGGTGCTGAAAATGAACTTGATTCAGCTTCTCATGGATGAGATTTCTGACCTGTTTAAAGTTTTACGGGGGGAGACTGAAAGAAATAAAGGAAATCTATCCCACAGTGTTTGCCTTTCTTCATCTCTCTTCCAGGTGGAGGAGTTTAAAAAGGACCCCAGTCCCTCCAAGTGTCTTCACTCTGTGTTCAATGTGGACACCGGGGACGAGATTATCTCCTACAACGACTATCACCACCTGCAGGTAGGTCAGCATTTAGAAAATAGCAGAAATGAGAGTAAATGGGAAACTAAAACAAAAAACATTTTTGGTGCAGGTTGTTCTTTGCATTTTCAGGGTAAATGTGCTAAAAAATGTTCGCTTTCAGATCAAAAGCTATGATGAGTAACCCTTTTTAAAGATGCACCGACATGAATGAACTGGCAGATAAATGAAACATAACGGCGCCTCAGTTCCTCGGGCATCAATGAAGAATGCATGTACTGCCGGTAAAAATGGCTTTCCCTGAGAGGCAAATGTGCTTCACTCAAACCATTTATTCTTCTGTCAATGGTATCGAAAGAGGTCAATTTGGTGTGCCGAGTTCAGGGTGGAGACTCTATTTCCTGGGATCTGAGTCCAATACAGCAAGAGAGCCAGAAATCGAACAAAACAAGAGTGGAAAGTTTCCAGGCTGTGACAAAGACTCCGAAAATCAACAAAAGTTTATAGAAGTGAAGCATTTGCTTTTCACAGGAAGTCCTTGGCTGTTTCTATTTTCCCTATTGATGGTGTCTTAAAGTGGCTTCTAGCTAAAATAAAACCCTTATCTCAGTTTTTCGTCGCTTTTTGCTAAATGGACAACAGAGGGAGACCAAATGACCCACTAAGCACTTCACCCCCGTCTGTTCTGTTCATCGTTGCAGATCGATGCGGTTTCTCTGTTCCTGCTCTACCTGGTGGAGATGATCTGCTCCGGTCTTCAGATCATTTACAACACCGACGAGGTAAACGAGACACCAGAAGGGCCACATAGATGCAATTCCTTCTGTATTAATGCATGTATTCACTGTTTTTATTTCTTTTTCTCTTTCCAGTAAATTTTTTCATTGTTTAAAAGTAGAAAATCTGTTTTTTGTGTTAAATCAACCAGTATAAATGTCTGTGGTTCACTGGAAAAAAATCTAAATCTAGATAAGTCATTTTTTCTTAAAAATAAGAGTATTTGTTCTTGAATTGAGGAGGTAAAAGAAACATTTTGCCAATGGAACAAGATAATTACACTTAAAAATAAGAAAACGTAACTGCATTGTCATATTTCAAGTGCATTTTATCTAAATATCTTTAAAGAGTAAAAATACCTCATTCCATTGGCAAATCATTTAATTTACCTACTCAAATTAACCCTATAATGCCAAATGTATCATATTTTATACATACGGTTCCTGAAATGTTTTGCATCTGACACCTTTTGCATAATTTAATGCTAAAAACTTTGCTCAAAATCCTATTGTACACAATCAGATATACCTGCACTGCAAAAATAGAAATCTCAATAAGTTATTTTTTTCTTAAAATAAGTGCATTTTTCCTTGAATTGATGAGCTAAGTGAGACACTTTGCCAATGGAACAAGACAATGTCCTATTAAAATAAGAAAAAAACAATGTTATCATCTTATTTAGAGTGAATATTATCTAACTATCTTATTTTAAGAGTAAAAATACTCATGCCATCGGAAGATCATCTTATTTGCCTGCTCAAATTAAGGGGAAATATACTTAATTTGAGAATTTTTTTTACTTATTTCTGGATCGTTTTTGCAGTGTGATAATAATCTTGACTTATCGCATAGCAATAAATTATTAATATCAAATATTTATTTCTGTTTTTTCTTTTTACATATTTTGATTAAAGGGCAAATGAGGAATTCAAAAAAAAAAAAGTAATTTTCTGTTTTTTTTAAATTCTTGGATCAGGCTTTAAAGGGTTAAGGGTAAATACGCTTAATTTACGATATTTTTACTGATTTCTAGATAGTTTTTCCAGCGTTTACAATCCGCCACCACACTGGAAAAAGATGAATTCTAGATAAGTAAATTTTTCTTAAAATAAGTGCATTTGTTCTTGGATTTAGGAGGTAAAAGAGACATTTTGTCAATGGAACAAGACAATTTACACTTAAAATAAGAAAACACAATTGCATTGTCTTATTTCGAGTTCATATTATCTAATTATCTAATTATCTTATCTTATTTTAAGAGTAAAAACACACAATCCATTGGCAAACTATCTCATTAACCTACTCAAATGAAGGGGAATACACTTAATTTAAGACATTTTTACTTATTTCTAGATCGTTTTTCTAGTGAGGGGTAGTGTTGAGCATGTTACTGTATAGTTATTACTATACTACTGCAAGTTGAATTACTGTTACTGGTGCATTACTATAACAGAAGTAGGTTATAAAATGTAAGCAGATGATGAATTGCGTCCTCTTCATGGCTGTTTAGGTATCAACACACAAGTGCCGCTTTGACAGTAGGGAAGTTGTGTCACATTTAATTTTTCTCTGCTTATATAAATGAACAAAGGTGTGCCAGTTTATATAAAAGAATTAGCCCAATGTTTGGTTCAGACAGATGAAAATGAACCAGCTAAACGTTCATAGTTCAGTTTTTCAAAAATGAACTAAGTTTACAAACCTATAAATGATTTTTTAATTCAAATTCATTTGGTAAATGAAGCCATAGAACCTCATATTTCACCCTTTAAATGTGTGATTATTTTAAATATAGATGGAGATGGAAAATACTGGATGCAGTCAAGGTTTACTGAAGCTTTTATTTAGAAAAATTACTCAGAACCTCAGAAACATACAGGAACATTCAGCTTCTGCTGAAAATATCTGCATCAAAAATGATTTCGTACAGCAGATATTTCCCCAGATAGATCAGATGCTTAAACTTTATGTTAAGCTTTAAATTTAAAGCAGACATGGCCAATGTACAGACTTGTTTGTTTAATCCAGGTGGGAACAGTTTACACAAAAACATGTTTTTTTTTCTTTCCCAGTATTCCATGGTTAGGTCATAAAAACTCTGCCGAGCGCTCTGCTAAACTGGCATCAGAATTATCAGCAGACTAGTACTAGGGGTAGAGACGCTGGTCTGTTTGCTGTAATAAGTGCCGTAAAACCTGATGTTATCCAGCGAAAAGTGTCATTATCATTGTAATGCAAACGTTAGCTGTGTGTGTCGCTCTTGTTCACGTTCATTACTTCAAAACTGGTCCGTTCAGTTCTCTGTTCACCAAAAATGTGAACGTATTCAATTCAATTCAATTCAGTTTATTTCTATTTCGCCAATTCACAACACGTCATCTAAAGTCACTTTACAGTTCAACCAGATCATCCTGTCAGATTGATTCAAAGTTTTCTATCTAAGGAAAACCAGTTGATTGCATCGACTCAAATACTATCCCTCACACTAAGCATGCTTGGAGTGACAGTGGAGAGGAAAAACTCCCTTTTAACAGGAAGAAACCTCCAGCAGAACCAGGCTCAGTGTGAGCGGCCATCTGCTGAGGCCCACTGGGGTTCAAGGAGACGGAAGCAGAGACACAAAAAGCTGCAAAGGCAGCCCCGTCCAGGAAAACACACAGCCAGGCAGACGAGGATGAAGAGAGCACATCCAGTTAGTCACAGTCAGAGAAACAGGACTACACTGGAAAACAGACCGATCTCCAGCATCTATAAACAAAGGTGTTGTTGGCAGCAGCACAGCTGATATTTGTCTCCAGGATGGAGTCACAGCCAAACAGGAACAGACCAGATGAAGCTACTATGAGAAAAAGCAGAGAGAGCAGAACGTTAGAGATTGAACTAACAGATTCTGCAGAGTGGGAGAATAGAGATAGAATGAAGCAGAATGATGAAAAGGGGTCCCTATGTTCAGTGAACGCCGTTCATTAAACGCGTTCATGCACTACAATGTAAATGAATATAAAGCTACATCAAAGTTTAACTTCATCCTTTTGTCTATTAGTTGGAGAACCTGGTTCTGAAAAAGCAACATTTACAATAATGCAGAACATGGAACCTCCATGGTAGTGGCAGTATCGGAAAATGTTTATTGAGGAATAAAGGGGAACCCAGTCCGTGTTTATGGGATGAAACACTGTAGAACTGAATAAAGAGCAATGCTGGAGAGCTGATGTTTATCTTCTAAATGGACGACCCTGAATGAACAGTTGGAGCTACAGTGTAGAACAATAGTGTATTTATGTCCTAGAATGGCCTAGTCAAAGCCTGGACTTTAATCAAGAAGAGATGCAAATAGATTCCTTAGAATTGGAACAAATAGCGGCCTCTATGATTAATGTTTAGAGGCATAATCCAGAAGGCTTTAAATCGAAATTACACAAAAAAGTGTTTTTCAGAGTGTATGTAGAATACACGCATCGGTTTTCAGCCATTTCATAATCAAACATCATTCTATTTCGGTGCAACATTTGAAATCCAACAAAAATATAATTTTACAAAGCATTATTTATTGTATAAAGCATTTTTTATGGCAATCGTCTGAGTTATCGTTATTTATTTACTGTTAATACTATGTAAACTGTCTGTATGAGGCGTTAAAACTGTAAAAGGTTCAAGTAAAATACAAGTTTCTCTTTTCTAATTGGTGTAAATCAAGTGGTTGATTCAAACTCAACGTTGTGACCCGTCTATTTAAATTTAGCTTAATTAGTCGGTGTTTAAATGTAGCTTGCATCTCCCTAAAGGGGAAGCTCGGCGTTTTGCTGTCGGATATATTAAAGGAAACAACGAGGCTCGTTTCCTTTAGCATTCAGAGAACAGCAGTTTGATCAAAGATCCTTCCTGCTAATCTCATTCAGCAGTTTTCCTAAAGCAAACATTTCACACATGCAGAGCTCAGGGGGTAAAGCTGCAATAATGCTGTCTCTTCCTGCATGGTTCTGTATCCCAAAGCTAAGATGTATAGCAACAGTTTTTATAAAGGATGATTACATACACTCACCGGCCACTTTATTAGGTACACCTGTCCAACTGCTCCTTAACACTTAATTTCTAAGCAGCCAATCACATGGCGGCAACTCAGTGCATTTAGGCATGTAGACATGGTCAAGACAATCTCCTGCAGTTCAAACCGAGGATCAGTATGGGGAAGAAAGGTGATTTGAGTGACTTTGAACGTGGCATGATTGTTGGTGCCAGGAGGGCTGGTCTGAGTATTTCAGAAACTGCTGATCTACTGGGATTTTCACGCACAACCATCTCTAGGGTTTACAGAGAATGGTCCGAAAAAGAAAAAACATCCGGTGGGCGGCAGTTCTGTGGGCGGAAATGCCTTGTTGATGCCAGAGGTCAGAGGAGAATGGCCAGACTGGTTCCAGCTGATAGAAGGGCAACAGTGACTCAAATAACCACCCGTTACAACCAAGGTGGGCAGAAGAGCATCTCTGAACGCACAGTACGTCGAACTTTGAGGCAGATGGGCTACAGCAGCAGAAGACCACACCGGGTGCCACTCCTTTCAGCTAAGAACAGGAAACTGAGGCTACAATTTGCACAAGCTCATCGAAATTGGACAATAGAAGATTGGAAAAACGTTGCCTGGTCTGATGAGTCTCGACTTCTGCTGTGACATTCGGATGGTAGGGTCAGAATTTGGCGTCTACAACATGAAAGCATGGATCCATCCTGCCTTGTATCAACGGTTCAGGCTGGTGGTGGTGGTGTCATGGTGTGGGGAATATTTTCTTGGCACTCTTTGGGCCCCTTGGTACCAATTGAGCATCGTTGCAACGCCACAGCCTACCTGAGTATTGTTGCTGACCATGTCCATCCCTTTATGACCACAATGTACCCAACTTCTGATGGCTACTTTCAGCAGGATAATACGCCATGTCATAAAGCTGGAATCATCTCAGACTGGTTTCTTGAACATGACAATGAGTTCACTGTACTCAAATGGCCTCCA